TACATCTCATACCTGTGAACTTCCTAGACAAAGAAGACCGTTATAGAGTAGTGATGTGAGACGTATGATAAAGTATTTATCTGTATCGAAAGTGTCTAGCAAATCTAAATTGAGACAACCTAATATCACTTGGAAGAATCTTCAGCAGTTTCTATCTTTGTATGGGTTGTGATTAATAAGTTGTCATCTCATAAAATAAAATATATGCCATTATGATTCCTCCGTATCCGGATAATACTACTATTGTAGTACAAACTGAATAACTATAATTTTTTCACTAAAAAGGTACAGGAATGCACACAAAAAGAATAGTTTTTCAATAAATATAAACATTCGAGGTTTAGGTTTTAACAAAGTGAGTTACCGGGAAACACGGGACCGGTACACCGGAAACGCGGGACTTTTTTACACACTGTGTTTTCCGGTTTACCGAACAGGCGGGGAGTTTTATCTGCGTTAAGGTTCGGACCACATACTCACCAAAGAGTAATAATCACCCACACACAACCTACACACAAGTAATTTGTACATTTCCTTTCTAGATCGATTCGATTTTAAGAGTGTGTGTGTGTGTGTGTGTGTGTGTGTGTGTGTTTTGTGTTTGTGTGTGGTGTGTGTGTTGTGTGTGTGTGTGTGTGGTTGTGTGTGTATGGTGTGTGTGTTGTTACATAAAAGAAACTTGTGTGTGTGTGTGTGTGTGTGTGTGTGTGTGTGTGTGTGTGTGTGTGTGTGTGTGTGTGTGTGTGTGTGTGTGTGTGTGTGTGTGTGTGTCTTTAATCAACTCCTCACAGAAACTGGACAAAAGTTCAAAACTGTCATGTCGAATACAATCGCTGCTTTAATTCTGTCTTTAGGACGTTGTTGTGAGTGTGGACGGAGCAGCTACAGGTTAGTTTAGCCTGATCGATCCATTCAGAAAACACGCATTTTAAAAGGTTTTTCGCTTGCCGTCTTGTCTGCAGACTTGTCAAAGCATTAATTCATGTTTTTTACTAACCGGTATCAGTATGTAGTTACTTCAGCATTATTTTGAAACGTGTATTACAATTAAATCACTGTAAAATAGGTTAATTTTGTTGTAGTTGGTTTCCACCACAGTATTTACATGGAAATAAGCCCCGCCCCCTCTCCAGCGCGTCCTGTTTGAATGACAGGAGTAAACACAGCTGACAGCCGCAGTGAAACTCCAGCGGTTGAGCGATGACAATATTTGCATCGCGTCCGTTGTGAACGCAGCATAATGCAGTTCAGAAAACACTGTTCTGTCACTTTTAAAGCAACTTCGAGATTTTAACAGTATCAGGGGCACACAGGCCATGGTGGCCGTAGGACGTACAATTATTTGTGGGGCATAACGGCCAGACCGAGGGGCTACGACGGCCATGGCCGTCATGGCCGCCGTGAAAATCCTGCCCTGTCATACACTCTCTCTAAGGTGCACCTGCAAACCCACCTTCTTTGTAGTCATGGCGAATGATGGCATCCTGTATGACATCGGGGAGGCCGAAGCGGACGTGGTGCTTCTTGCGCTGGGTGGCCGGGGCTCGAACCTTGAGGCCACCTTGTTGTCTCTGAAGGCCTTTTTCCCTCTCGTAATACGCCCTTATTTGGTCACAGCGCATCCTCCGGACCAGCCGCTGGCGCTGGCCAATGGGGAGAGACTCCAGCAGACACTGGTCTATCTCCATGTTCTGACGAAAGACATTACATAGCTGGAAGCAACCTGGTGAGAAACACAGAAAGAGCAAGAGAGTGATGAAGATGTCAACTGCCAGAAAACTAAAAAGGCAAAACTAATTTATTCTTGCATTATCTGTTTTCACTGAAGCTTTAGTGGCAAGCTGTCCATCCAAGAAGTGAGGAAAAGTATCTGGTGAACCAGTGAACACACTGCAGTCCGTAGTATTTACTGTAGGACACTGATACTGAGCTAAGGAGACCATATCAACTACAACATGCTTATGCTGTCAGTTATATTTGTTAACATGTTCTAGTTTTGTGAGCATGCATGTCTGTGTCTGCAGTTGTGTGTGGGCAGTCGTCTAATATATTGACTGTAAAGGATATCTTCTGTGTCTGTTTAGCCGTTGGGTGATTTGAGAAAAGCATCACAGCATTGCGTTTGTTGTCTCTCCTGTTCCAGTGATTCTCCTGACTCCACATCATCTCTCTGCCTCTCAGTGGAAGTTAGCCAAAACGATCTCAGGCAGATGCTAAACCTTGTATGGTCTGCTTGGATGATTAGGATGTACAGATCCGAGCAGTAGGTGGGCTCAGAATGGGATTCACAGAGTGTGTGCTCAGGTAAAATCAAGATAAACTTATATATAAATATTTATATACGGTTATAAATAAAACGTAATCTATTTGGCGTTGATTGCATTGATATTCACATCCACCATTACGGACATGTACAAGATGAGGAGGAGGTCTTTGCAGTGTTGTTTTCTTTCCAAAGTCAACTCTGTTGCTTTTAGACCCTATTTGAGGTGAGTACCCCCTCTTGGAGCATCGTTGTCTCTATTTTGATCTAAAGTGGTTCTATGTCTCCATTCTTTCTCTCCAATTCTGCTAAAAGGGTAACGGAGCTCACATCAGGCTGTTCGTCAAGTGGACAATATTTTTAGTGAGATAGCGTTGAGGGACTACAGGTGGTCTCCATAATTCCCATCATCTATCTCTTTCTCACTCCTTTACCATTTCTCTTCATCTCTTTACTTATCCACAAAATGATATGTGTCTCAAACAGTTTTACATTTAGGAGTACAAATCAGCATAACACTAAAAGGCCTTGACTGGCTGTTAGAGGACTGTTGCTGCTTTGTGTAAACTCATACAGTGACATGTTGTTTCTTCTCTGGAGGGCCTGAGGTGTGTTTGGACTAGATCTTTATCTGGAGCAGACAAAACTATGCAGAGACCACTTACATTGACACATTCATTCAACACTGACCCCCTGAACCCCAATGTGCCACACATAAACACACACATACACACACGGACACTCACACACACACCTTCTGCACAATACAGTACCATCTGCTCTGGTTAGACATGTAACAAGGTTCTTTTGTATTCAGGTTCCAGACAGGGGGGGGGTACTATTGTACTGTTCATGCCAGGTGTCTGCTTCAACTGTATTATATTTTAGAAACTTGGCTGCACGTTGAAAAGGCACAAACACAAAAATACACTCTCCCTACTGCCTTGTCCAATACCACTCCACTCTATCTCTAGGCCCACTGTTATTGCCTTTTTTTTTTCATCTCTCACATTTTTCCCTGCTCACCTTTTCTTCTGCCCAGGCCATTTTGATCAGTGGCTTGAAGCAGCAGTTGTGTTGAGTGTTCAGTCTTTGTCCAAGTAGACATCTATGAGATTGGGTGAACTGGTATTTGTTGCCTTGATGCATAAAGGGCAGAAGTCGTCACCACTCCTGTAGGTTTAGGCTAGCTAGATTAGCCATTAGCTCATTCCATTGAACCACACACAATGTGGATATGGCCAACTGTATGTCTCCATCTCTGCCATGACTTCTCCTTCTTGGTTTGCCCTACCCTTCACACTCTTTGTCAACCTCATATATCATCTACTATACAGCAGGCATTCAAGGCTACAGTCACATCAACCCATAAACTCCCTGCACATGACAGATGTCACACAACGTGACATATTGATGCAGACTTGATATATACACTAAGTAGCATATGGATATCCATTAGATGATAAAATAGATTTCCCAGAACACCCTGATGTTAAATAATCATGTTGTCAATAAATTAACATTAAGTGATACAAATGCACTTGTATGTAAATTAATAATGATGTTTGCTGAGTCTGCTAAAAGGTTTTCTTTACCTGCAGTAGTTTGAATGTGGTAGTAAATGTTGTGATTGAGGCTATAAAACATGTCCCTTGTGACTTGCTATAAGTATATGTTCCTGTATGTAACGTGGCTGAATGTGTTTCTGATATACATGGTGATATATTATTGGGTGGTTTTTCAATACATTCCCAGGAGCATTCCTTTGTCTTCCTTTTGTAGATGAAAATGTCAAATACGGAAAGCACTGACAGCAAAGATCAATAAGAATGTGCCTTCAGTCAATACATACTTGAGTTTCCATGTTTCTAATAAAAACAGTATGCAAATGTGCATCGACCTAGCTGAAGAAAACACACATCATTCACACTGACTTAATCACAGAATTTGCAAAAACTATGGCAGTGCTTGTTCTTAATAGCCATACAAAAATGGACACCGGCATGTTGTACTGTATGGTGAAGGGCTGTGAACAGACCAGTGAAATGTGAATAGGAGAGGGAAAGACAGAAGAGCTGACTCCGATGGGAAACAGAGGCTGAACGAATGAATGAGAAGGACGGCGTGAGTGGAGAGACAGAGAGAGATGGAAAGCAGTTGCTTTCTTCTGCTGCCATCAGGCTACCACCAGGCTATCAGTTATTGATTGTATGTGGAGCATCCCATGCAGGCTCCAGCTAATAACTCTGACAGCACTGCAGGACGTTGTACATTTGAAATGTGTGCAACATGATGTGCACACACACTCAGGCACAGACTGCAAACTGCAGACACCATAAATGTGCAGGGTGTATATGGAGGTATGTTGTAGAGAGAGGTTTGGGGGTAAGACAGGTAGGGTTCTCAGAGTCAAGGAAAGTCTTCATGACAGCATCACCTTCATGATATTTTTCTCCCCTCTTCTTTCCATCTGCTCATCATTCTTGGCTGCAATCTTGATGTGTCACTCATCCTATCCTGACTTCCTTTCCATTTCTCATCCTGCCATTCCGTCTCCTCTCTGCAACGCTCCTCTAAATCACCAGTTTCCATCCATCTGTCCCTTTTTCCATGAATCGACTTTCTCTCTCTGTGAGTCTGTCACTGTGTTATGAATATGCCAAATGCTCTTGGGATCTGCGTCTTTGTGCCTCTATTTTAGCTTTCTTTCTCTCTGCCAGTACCTGCCGCATTCACCGGTCAACTTCACACATCTGCAGCAGCTCTCTGCAGCAAGCCCACACTCCCGCTTACTGTGCACACACACACACACACACACACACTCACACTCACAGGCAGGGACACACAGGGACAAGGATACACACTCAAAGTTAAGATTGTGCTGCTGTGTTGGCAGCTGGTGACCAGAATTCTTAAGCATGTAAACTCATACAGTACATGACACCCTGCATATATAGTAGNCAGAACACTAAACACAAAACCACACACCCAAAGTGCAAAACAGCTCATTTCTCCTGCTAAATGAAGAACTGCACTCAAAACTACATGAACACTTACCAAATGCAAACTTTTGCACCAAATATAACACACTTCATTCATAATACTAGATGGTTTGACCACCCAACTACACACTGCTGAGCATAATCTAAAGCACTTTCATATTTTATGGGCTATGCTCTGTACATAGAGGTTTCTGCAGAGAAAGATTGCTTGAGTATACAGAAATACAGTAAATGAAGAAATACAAAGAAGTTGTTGAAAATAAATCACATTTTATTCTGCTGCTACCTGTGCCTCATTGGAAATCCTTAGCCTTCCACCTGCACCTCTTTTTTTCCTCAGTCCTTCAGATAAACAACAAAGATATAGTGGTTGGTCAGTGTCTGTGTTGCATAAAAGTAAGTCTACCACAGTCAATTGTGCAGGATGTTTGTACAGTTATAGTATGCAACATGCCAACAATTCAATTACAGTAATGAAGTAAATACGTTTCACACAACAGATATAAGCACTGATATATCATGAATTATGCAGAGCTAAAAACTGGTAACTAACCTGTTTTCAAGTCTAAGTGTCCGGATTACAGAGGCAACAGTACATCGGCTTAGATTAGGCTGAACCCTCTGTCCAGCCTCTCTCATCGTCAAACCATGGTTGATAACATTTCATTTCATTAGAGAGAGTATTCTTCTTTGTCCACGTCCTCTCCCTCCAGCTCTACCTCTACCTCTCATTCTTCCTCCTCTCACTCTCACCCCACCTCTTCCTCCTCCTCTCACTCTCAGTGCAGCTCTTCCTCTTGCCTCTTGCTCATGCTTCCATGTTGGCTTCCATTGTTGCTGTAAGAAAGTACTCACCTGTGGTCTTTTTATAGTGCTAACATCCTGATTGATGAGACAACAATTATGCTACCAGGTGTTTGGTCAGGTGGAACGTGTTTCTTGATCATTGGTCCATGTGTGAGGCATTTTGAATATCAGTGTTTTAAACCTGCTAACACGTGATTTATGTCAGATCGGCTGTGTTCTCACGTGGAGCAAACGTTTGCAGTGGTTTGCAAGAAATTGCCATGTTTGATTTGCAAATTGTGTGAAAAGCTGAAAAGTGTTTAGAGTTGTTGGGATTTAAGCTGATGTTTTGCCTTTGAGTGTCAGTTCTAAAATAATTGTGTTTATGTATAATTTTAGTTGTTTAGGGCAATCGAGAAAAACTGTAATGCATATTGCTCAAAGCGCAGCTCTGTTGGTCACTTTTTAAGCTTAAAGGTCCCTTGGCATGGTCATTTCTACTGATCATAATTCCGTTGTTGAGGTCTACTAGATAGAGTTTATATTGTACAATTCCAAACTCACATTTGGTTTTTCATACAGCATCTCTGTATAGGTTGGTAATGTATTCACTGGTCGCCTGCTGGTAGGAACGGGCTTGTGTGGAGCTGCGTGCGCCCCCCTCGCTGTGGGCCTCAGCTGTGGTCAGCGTCGCGCGCGCGCGCCACTCTGCTTCGTGAGTGAGTATCACGGAACAGTCAGTGATATGTGTTACCAATGGCGTTTTGTTTCGCAACCCAGAAGAATGAAACCAGTTATGACAACAGATGAGAATGCTGCCGTGGGGTCTGGGTGCGTTGTTGGGCGGGACGTTGCGGCTCGCCTCGCTCGCGAGGAGCGGGACAGTGTGAGCTGGGTTCAATGTCCTGCTTGCTGCATGGGGTCTGCGGACAGCGAGACATAGCAAATGGACGTGGGAAGGAATGCTGGGAGGCTGGAGCACCCCCATCTGCGAGGCTCCATAGCCCCCCCCCTCCCAGTTTCGCCGCTGAGAGAGTGTGTGTGTGTGAGGAGCTCACAAATGGGCCATTGGGTATGGGTCACTCACTGTACCCAGGAACAAAAAAGAACTCTCCATGATGCGTTCTGGGGCCACAGAGACAGTCTTTTCTGTTTAGAGTTTTCCTCGCTACAGGGTGTACTTTGAGGGGTTTGTGACTCTGCAGGACCGTTTACATGCATAAAACCGTTCATAACACCCCAAAGGGGACGGGTAATAACGGATAAAAGCATGACGCAGGGATCCTTTAATGTTGGTCATCAGAAATGTCTACAGGATGGTCTAGTGTATCAGAGTTTGATGCCGTAAAACTCCTTGGTATTCGTAAAATTACGAAAGGAAATTGTTAACAGCTCAATAATACCCGTTCAAATAGTTACGAGATGAGCAAAAATATACGAATTTAGAAGTATGTCAAAGTAGTAAAGATTTATGGAAAGATTCACGTGAAGGTATGCAGTGCACATTTTTGTGTCTGTCGTTGATGTGTCTTCTTTTCGTTGTTTGTAGGGCTACTCTTTTACTGACCTGTGGTGAAATGATATTGGTGGAGCGCACTATTGAGTATGATGTGTTATGCAGTTCAATGCAATGTTGGTAATAAAGGCGATGTTGTTCCAATTAGTGCTTCAGTAGGACTTTATTTTGAGCTTAAGGTACGTTCCTTGCTAAAACGTGATAAATAGGCTAACTACCTACGTTATTACTTTTTACATTTTGATCTGACAATTTAACAATATAATGTAAACTGTTATGCTACTCTTTCCATCCTTCGAGTCAAGGGGATGAGATAGACTGTAGTATAGGAACTATCCTCTTGCTCCGCCACATCTGCTCTGCACATGATTCTATTGTCCCCCTGTTTCTCTATGGGTTTCTCTTTTCAGTCCATTGTTTAAGTGTTTGTTCTCTCACCCTAACACTACGCATTCATGCAAAACACCCAACACAGCGCAACAGAGTGTCGTGTTATGATGTCTGTGGTCATCATTCCCACCAGCTGCTTCTGGGCTTTTTTAAGATTCTAAAACTCGCTTTTTTTTTTTTCTCTCGCAACACCAGCTCACTCCCTGACAAACTCTAAATCTCCCTCTCTCTCACTGACTCATGCTCTCTCTCTCCCTTTCACTACTCCCCCTCATTCCAACCAAGATTGGCACCTCCCCTCTCTCCCTCTATTTCCCCTTGTCCTGCTGATGGGATGTCAGTGGAGGGATGTTTGCTAGGTGTAGAATTGCAGAGAGAG